AAAAAACTTAGAATCTCCAGCAGATCTTGAAATGGCCAGGTGGCAGATGTGGAAATACTGAGTGCGAACGGTGATTGCAGGAAATGGAGGTTCAGTCATAGCTTAATACAGCCACAGCAACAGCTGCTGAAGGTCTGAGCTTTTCCCTATAAGGCAAGTGCATATTTATCATTTATGCCATTCTATCCGAAAAAAATATCGAAAATTTCCCCGGTTTACTGCTACATATAATATATTTTTGCATTTTTCGCAGCAGATTGTTGGGAACTGGTGCGATGGAGTAAGTTGATGTGCTGATTTCAGATATGATAGCACTCACGGATCTATAGATCGCTTACTGATTCATTAATTTTTTGCAGTTTTTGCTGTAAGGTGCAAGAGATTGGTATAATAAGGTAAGTTGATATGCTGATTACAAAAATGATATCCTTTCAAAGATTTATCGATTGGCTTTATGGATTTCCTTTGCCTCCGCTATAGTTGCTGAAAACTGGTACGACAGATTTATGCGTAAGTTGATGTTTTTATTAGAAATCTGCTAACCATTCAGAGATTTATTTATCAATTCTATTGGCATTGGTTTTTCGCACTCTTTGCTCTGAGTTCGAAATCGCTGCAGTGGTTCAACTTGATATGGTGATTGTGGATTTGATAACCACCCAAATGTCAATTAATCGACTTTACTGATTTATCGATTTTCTCGCACTTTCTCTCTAGAGTACCGGAAATTTCTACTTGGTGATTTTGCCATGGCTTTAGCTTACTTGTTTCCGACATGTACTGTTGAAGCTAAAGCCCGGAAAGCTCTTTGAACTTTATACGTAAAAAAGCAAACCTAGCTTGGCTGAAACGTTTGTTGTAGGATTTTGGCATGTTCAGTAACAGTAAAATTTTTCATAAAGACATGGCTCTGGTGGGCGATGGTTTAAGATTTACAATATATTCATAATTTTGGTGGTGAAGTTTCTAAAAAGCTATAGTTCAACTGAGGTGAGACATTTAAGTGCTGCGACCCAATAGTTTCAAGGTCGTTAGCGAGGAGGCTTTTCCCAAGCATAAAAAATTTCAAAGTATCTCCTTTTTTAGAGAGACACCGATCAAAGGCTGAACTGTCTCGGGAGCATCCGAGAAATAGATAGGACTTATTTCCATTTCGCGTGGTATACCCAGATTTACGAACATAAAAATTTTAAGAATTAGAAAGTCGAAGAAAATTTTTCAATAAGCCTGGTAAAATGTTCATTTACTAAAATGAAACTTGTACCTTGTACCGCCTTTGTTCACCAATTGATAAAGCTTTAATTTTGGGAGAAATCCTTTTCGCCTGAAATGAGACATTCGCACATATTCCTTCCCAACTCTATTTTGATATGCTGCGGCTACCTAAGGTCTATACAACTCGCTCACTAATACTTATAGGTAAAAAAATATGCAAAAGATCTTTCTTAATTATGACAGATGCAGCCAGAAAGAACCATTAAATCGCTACTCTGAATTGGATTTAGTAAGTAGGGCAATTACGCAGTAAATGCCAGATTGCGCACACCATTTTGCAAAAAAAAAACCCAACTTTCAAGGGAATTGCTCAGCGATAAAGAGCAGATCTGAAATCAGCATTTTAAGGCACATGTATCTGCGTACAGATGACCGTGATCACCTAGTATCCTTTCCTTTTCAAAGATACTTTGACATGTGCAGATTTCAATTAAGATCATCTGGGTGACTTGGTATTTAGAGAGCACTTTACAGTTACTGACAATTTTTGATTAGAGAACTATTGTAAAATCCACCATGAATAAAGTAATAGTTCATTGCTTAGAGAAGACAGTGTTTCCTTTGGAAACTGCTACGTTTAAAATGGAAAAACTAATCCTTAAACGTAGATTTAGATGTCAACAATACAACCCTAAATTAAAACATTAAAACAACTTTCAAATCTTCCTTTCTCTCTTAAATATCGTGAATTGCCCGAAAAATCCAGTTAGCCTGAATTAACTGCTCTTAAGTCATAACAAGGTGTCTTATTATCCAATTTACGATTGGCGTACAGATGAACAGAGACAATAAAGTACCTCCGCTTTACTGTTTTATGGCCGTTCGGTGACCCAATACTATCAAACTTGTCCCACGTTCCCTTCTTGCGCACATTTTTTAAAATTACAAGTTCTGTCACTCACTTTTCCCACAAATATCTCTCTTCATTTGATCTGAAATAAGAAAAATTTTAGTTTAGTCGCGTGTTATACCTATCATACTTTTTAGGATGTTAATTACTCTTATTTGCTTCGTGATTGTGATAGCACAGACCTGCGACTTGACTGTCCATCTCGAGCCCCAGTCTGAAATTCCTGTGCATGCTCAATTCACATTCCACAACGGGACGAATAGCGAAGTGTACGTGAGAAAAGACGTAGACGCTCATTTAGTAGGAAATTAGTATTTCAATGAACAAAACGGTGGTACTGTAAAATACTGATCCTCGGTTGCTTACTCTGTGGATAATCTCTAAAGAAAATCAGGATTTCATTGCAACCAACATTGAAGCCTTGTGTGTGTATACATACATTGCACTCTAACACCTTTTTTTAGTATCAAAGTCAGTGGAAAAGAGAAGATCATGCTTCACATCACAGACATCATTTGCAATCTAAAACCAACTATTCTCAAAACTTATAACGAGCATCCAGGTCCAGGAGTTGTTCCCATTGGAGAGACTTTCGCCTTTTTGGAAGGAGCAGGAAATTTATCCTACTTGGTGCGTTGATCTTTCATTTTTAAGCTTTGAGCATCAGAAATCCATTTAATTATAAGATCTGTTATTACCTAGGACGCACTTGCAATAAGTAGGTAGGAGATTAATCATAATAAGGCTTACTTTTTCCCAGAATCTATTATACAAGGACAGCGCATACTGTCTCCAAAGAGAATTGCAGTTCAAGCTGAAAAGTAAACTAAACGAGGCACAAGATAACGCAAAAAATAAACTCTCTTCCGGTCATTCGTTGTAAATACTCAAGTAGATAGCAATATCTAAGCAACTCTGTGGGCACTCGTTCATGCTCACTCTTTGTAAGAAAATATTTTTTCCCGTAATTTTTGAGGAAGAGCTGTCAAATGGTTCA